GTGTGCGACGGCGGTGCGCAGATCCACGTGCGGGGGCTACAGCGGCGAGGCGGCGAGTGACCGGAGCCTGGTGGTGAGTGTGAGCGGGCTGTCCGGGAGCTACTGCTCGCTCGTGTTTGTGCACAACCTGCCGGCACACACGAACGTGACGGTCCGTGACTCGACGATTGTGACGGCGGGGCCGATGCGCTACTCGCAGCTGAGCGGGCTGACGGACGCGGTGGCGTCGCCGCTTGTGCTGCACGCGATGTCGCTGTTGCAGACGCAGCTGCGTGTGAGCAACACTGTGCTGAGGTCGTTGCAGGCGGGCGGGACGGCGGTGCACGTTGGCGGCGGCGTGGACCTGCTGTCGAGCGCGGTGGTGCTTGACGGCGTGTCGCTGGAGGCGTTGGGCGGTTCGACCGCGTCCGCGATGCATGTGGCGTCCTCGTCGCGTCTCAGTCTGCGGAGCCACTCGGTGTTCTCCGTGACGAACGTGTCGGTTGTGAGCAGCGGCGGCGGCCTTGTGCTTGGCGAGCACCTTGCGGTGGTTGACTCGGTGCTGCGCTTCGTGGGCGTCGAGGGGTCTGTTGCGTCGTCACTGGTGTGCTGCGACGGTGGGACGGTCGGTACCGGCGGGTGGCTGGACCTGCACGACGTGTGGGCGGTGGGCGAGGCGTCGTCTGTGGCATCGCTGTCGGGTGTGACGCTTAACGGCGGCGCGGTGTCGATTGCGCGCTGCGCTGCCACTGGCGCGACGCTTGTCTCCGGGCTGGCGATAACGAGCGGCGTCGTGTCGGTGCAGTGCAACCGTGCCGGCGGCCGGGTGCTGCAGAGCAGCGGCGACTACCGCTTGGCCGGCCTGCCCTCCGTGAGCGTGGTGCCGTGCGACGACTGTGCGGCTGCGCTGGCGTGCTTCGATGCGCTGACGGCGTCGTTCTCTGACTGCGTGTGCAGCTGCCGTGCCGGCGGCGTGGGCGAGGCGTGCCTGCCGTTCGACGTGCCGCCTGCGAGGGCCGGCGGCGGTGGCGATGGCGCGGAGGGCTGCGTGAGTGGCGTGACACTGACGGAGTCGGTGACGGTTGGCGGTGGGCGTGCGACGGCGTGCTTCGACTCGGTGGTGTTCAGCGGGCCGATCACTGTGGCGGTGGACTTGCGCTTGATGGACGCGTTCGCTCTCGTGCTGAACGTGACGCTGCGCCACTGCGTGCTTGTGGGCGGCGCACAGCTGCGGATTGGCGGTCTCAGCGAGATCACGGCGCGCCTGATGCCGCACGCTTTCGTCAACATGACGAATGTGACGTCGCTGGAGGGCACGATTGTGCTGAATGGCGCGATGCCGCTGCACTCGCGTGTGCTGCTGGCGAACTCAACGCTGCGCGCGACGGTTGGCGGGTCGCATTACGTGCCGGCGACTCCTGGCCACGCGGGATCCCGGTACGGCCCCGCGCTTGTCCTGGACGGCGTCCGTCTGCTGTCGACGCGGTTTGTCATGACGCGGTCGACGCTGGTGTGTGGCGGGGGCTCGTGCGCTACGATCCTCGTGGAGCGCGGTCTCGACGTGAACCTGTCCAGCGTCTTCTACATGGACAACTGCGCCGTCAATTCGCAGATGCACGTGATGTACGCTCTTGCATCGGACCTGCGCGTTGCCGACGGCTCCGTGTTCTCCATACAGAACAGCTCGTGGAGTGCGCCGAGCATTAACATCTACGAAGGTGCGTGTGTGTTTGGGGACGTTGCGGTGGCTGGCGGCAGCGTGCTGCAGGTTGTGTCCAGCACTTTCCGTCTCGGTTTTGCCATGCTTATCACAAACGTGCTGACCGTGACTGGTGGCAGTTGGCTGTTGCACCGCGACAACGAGTTCCGCACCGCCTACGTTGTGTACGTTGTCCACGAGAACGGCGTGGCGTTCCGCGATCGGAGTGTGTGGTCGATACTGTACAACAACTTCACGTACGGCTTTTACTCGTCGACCATTGCAAGTATGACAAGCAGCTGGTCACTGCCATCCGACTCGCGCCCGACCATCTACGGCGTGTGCAACGAGGCAAGGGGCTCACCTGTGACGGATTACCAAGAAGACCTCAATATTGGGACGCCCGTGACGGTGTTGGACTGTGGCGCTTGCACCATGGACGCCGTGTGCTTCGCTACGAGGACGAGCAGCATCAGCGGCTGTGAGTGCGTGTGCGCTGCTGGCGGATACGGTGACACGTGCCTGCCAGCAGCGGTTCCGGACGGCCTTGGACCGCTCCCGCTCCCCGATGCGAGGGACACGGAGGTCCGCTGCGTGCACGGTGGCAGCATCAGCTCCGTGGACGATCCTGATCCCGGTGTGCGTGGTCTGTGCTTTGTCAACGTGACCTTCACCGCCGCGATTGTGCTGGACCTGTGGAGCTTTGACGCACCACAACAGACACTCAACATCACGCTGCTGCAGTGCGTCCTCATGGGCCTGTCGATCAGGGGGAGTGGTGCACGCGTGCACGTGAACATCGCATCCTCGATGTTGGATTCTGGAGCGTTGGAGTTTGAGGGTGGTTTTGGCGCGAGCTCCCAGATACTGGTGGTGGGCAATAAGATTGTGTCGACGTCGAGCCACGCCATTGCATTTTTGGATTTTTACTTCAGTGCGAATTTTACGCTGCTGCTGCTTGACAATTTCATCGAAGGAAGTAGTTACGCAGTTTATTTTTCCGAAGCTGCTGTTCTTGATGGTGGCGGGATTATTGTGAAGGGAAATACGCTGAGGGCAACGGAGGGGGGTAGCGGTTCGGAATCATCTGTTTGCGTTTACGCTGTTGTGAAGAACGGCGGCTACTTTGACGTGGAGAACAACACGATGAGCGCGGTCCATGGCGTTTATCTTTACGGGGATACCACCGTGAGCTCCGCGGGGCTGCTGAGAGTGGCGGACTGCATCTTCGTTGAAAGCACGGAGGTTTTTGATTCCACGCTGGTGTATTTTTACGGCTCTGTGACACTCGAGGGAGGTGCGCAGTGGCGTGTGGAGGGCAACAGCGTGAGCGCGTTTTCAATACTGCGTATAGCAAATTCTCAGCACAACATTGAGCTTTTAGACAGCGGCACTATCGTGGCGCTTGCGTACAACCGTCAGTTGGAAGATACTTATCCCTTTGTTGATCTGGTTCCGTCAAACACGATCGTGGGGTCACCCGCGCGGTTTGTGGTTGGGTGCAACCTGCAGGGCGGTGAGGAGGTGTCGTACGACGACGTGTTTCCGGAGGACGTGGTGGTGTTCAGGTGTGGCACATGCAACGACGACGCGGCGTGCTACATGCCCGGGACGGAGTCGGTGGACCGCGGCTCGTGCTCGTGCAGCTGCAAGGACGGATGGCATGGCGCGTCGTGTCTTCCCTTCGAGGTGCCTGACACGGTTGTGCCGCCCGTGGCGGAGAGAGCCGTCGACGGCGACACGAGCTGCGTGGTGAACCAGACGCTGACGAACCTCACGCTGAACATGTGGAAGACGCACCACTGCTACGTGGGTGTGACATTCAGCGGCGTGGGTGCTGTGCTGACCTTTTTCTTTGACAGTATGCCGCTGCATCTCCCCATTAACATCACGCTCACTGGGTGCACATTCCTTGAGGGTGCTTTGCTGCGGTTTGTTGGGGGTGCTGGTGCGGCCGAGTCATCCGGCGTCCTGATCCGCGTGAGCCAGACGGTGATGCGGTCCTCAGTTGTTGCTTTTGCACTTGCCCTCCCGCTGCACTGCGACATTGCCGTCACGGAGGTTGACGCCGTGCAGTCCTCTGAGTTCTACTTATCGGACACTGTGAGCAGCGCGTTGAGCGTCGTGCTTCTGCAGAACGTTGTGTTGACTGCTTCTTCGCTGTTGGTCAGCAACGTCAGGGCGCATGCAACGAAGCACGGTGCGCTTGGTTTGTACTCGATCGGGGCGCTGACGCTGGTGGGTGGCAGCTCGCTGTACGCGCGGTACTGCAACCTTGGTGGATACAAACACATTCTGCACTTGAATACCCTCAGTGTTCGTGATCACTCCGTTTTTGCGCTGCTCAACAATACGATGGCCTCCGGGACAAGCTTTCTGTTCCAGTACTCCCGATTCAGCGTGTCGGATCACAGCGTGTTGCGCGTGGTGGGCAACAGCGTCTTTTCATCTTATGTCATTTACGTCAACAAATTGTGGGCCGTTGAGCGGTCAAGCTGGCTGGATTGGCGCGACAACGACGTGGGATTGGGTGCGATGTTCTATGACGCTGGGTCCGCTTTTGTGAGCATTGACGGCAGCAGTGTGGTGACGCTGACGGGCTGCAAGATGGGCTCGACGGGGCTGTCGGAGCCTCTGCTATCGCAGGCTGACGCCGGCTACCGGTTTCTTGCTGGGTGTCTGACGGTCGCGGGACGTGTGGTGACGACGGCGGCAGAACTGGAGCTCCACGGCATCACCAACGCGACGACGGCTGCAGCGTGCGGGGAGCGCACAAAGGACGGCGACTGCTTTGCACCGCTGACGACGGAGGTCATTGACTGCGAGTGCCAGTGCGCTGCTGGAGGGCACGGCGATGTGTGCGTCCCGGCGCCTGTGCCTGCTGGCCCGCCGCCACCGCCGTCGCCACCACCGCCACCGTCGTCACCGCCGTCGCCACCACCGCCGGTTGGTGAGTGCATCAGCGACATGGTGTACCCCGAGGTGACGCAGACTGTGGGCAGCGGGCTGTCGTGGCTATGCTACCGCAACGTGACGTTCAGTGGGGGCCGCATGAGCCTGACGGTGCTGGTCGGGGCGATGACGGGCGACGTGGCGAATGTCACGTTCGATGAATGCACGTGGAGGGACGGCGCCGTGCTGGTGCTGTTGGGCAACGCGTACGCCGCTGTTAGGTCTCTGAACATCATCGTCACCGGCAACACGTTTTTTGACGCGCTGCTCAGCCCGGAGGGTGGGTTTCCACCTCACACGAGCATCACGATCAGCGGGAACCGCTTCACGGTCACGAGGCTGATTTTTCGTTCGGGTTTGGCCATTGACAGACCGTCGTGTGTTGCGATGAATGAGCTGGCGATCACCAACGACTCCGCGGTGGTGCTCAGTGGCAATGTGTTTCTGACCGTGTCGGCGTCGTCAATCGCCATTCACGTTTCCAGATCTGCGGTGAGGGTGTCGTGGCACTCCGTGTTTGCTGTGATGGGCAACACGTTTCATATGGCCGGCGGTGACAGCACGCTGATATATCTTGAAGGGTCTAGGCAGTCTTCGTCGCTGAAGGTGCTGAACAACTCTGCCGTGGTGATCCGAGGCAACGTTGTGACGATGCCGGTGAAGTACGTCATCTTATTTCTTTGGGAGTTACGTGCGGAGTCTCTGTCAGCGCTTGTGTTTCAGGGCAACGACATGCAGGGAAGCTCGGTTGTGTTTTTTTCAGGTTACTCCTCCAACATTTACTACAACTCCTGGCTGCAGCTGAGCGACAACCTTTGCCGCGTGTCCCCAGTGGTTGCTTTTGCTCTTTCTAGCCCCACGGTGAATCTCCGTGACTCCACGGTGTCTGTGTCCGGCAACCAATTCATTTCCGGCACGTTCACGCCGACAGCGCTATGGATACCCACGGGGCCCCGCGATCTCACAAACGGAGCTATTGTGGCCGCGTGCAACACTGTGAACGGCGAGGAAGCGAATAC